CCCCTCCCGCCCAGGCCCGGGGGAAGGCCACACGCTTGTGACAGAAGCCATGAAAGGGCAAAAAGAAAGTTCAGGCCTCTCTCGTAATTGCAACAGAAACCCAGTAACTTCCACCCAGGGGAAATCCCCTGTTTTTTGTGGCCCCTGAAACAGTCCAACTTTCACCTGCTTAATAAATGTCTCCTTTTCCTGTTTGTTTCTTCTCAAGATAATCTACGTTGACCAAGGTGATGATGGGAAATAGAAAGGAACTTTTTTTGTTTGTCTAAAATCTGTCCCCACGACACCACCCCACCAAGTGTTAACTCCCTATTAGCACTGAAACATGGCATGTGAACTTCAGGCCACAGGGACCAACATGACAAATGCCGTCAGCTGCCAGGCCTCCCCCATACAAGGTGGCCAGCAGACATTTTCCCATCAGGAAGAAGGAAAAGGTCACTGGTTGGCCACTGTGCCCCCCATCTTTCCCTCCACCCTGCGAGGCAGCACCCACGGCCGCTGTGGCTGAAGAGTGGGTCTGAGAGAGTGGGAGGGACCGTGAAACCACAGTGCGCGTCATTCACAGCCCAGCTCGCAGCGTTTCCCCCGCGAACCACTTTTATTCTCTGAGTCCAGTGAACTCTTGTGGTATTTGTCAAGTTTTCTGACAAGCTGAACATCACTGCCATGGGTGAAAAGACACACTTCTCCTTGCCCAGGGAAGGCTGTGGTGAGATTCCCTGTGATGCTTGGGAAGAAGGATAAGCCAAACACCCATTCAGGTTTCAGAGCATAGCGAGCAGTGTCCCTCTCTCCCATGGGAAGCTTCTTCATGCGCTCCCTCACGCGCTCTGTTCCCAGTGCCCGGGTCAGGTGCCTGGGTCCGAGGCTGCAGGGAGGGGTGCAGGGGTCTGGAGAGCGCTGTTCCCAGTGCCCGGGTCAGGTGCCTGGGTCCGAGGCTGCAGGGAGGGGTGCAGGGGTATGGAGAGTGCTCCGGGGGCAATATCCATGAAGGGAGCGAGCGACACCAGGCTGGGAGGAGCTGAGCTGAAATGCAGTCCCAACAGCCTCACCAAACCGTGGCGGGAGCTCTGAGTGGGAGCCCTCCCTGTGCTGCCCCTCCTCGGGGCCAGGAGCGGGCCTTCAGCTCCATCCCCGACGCCCCTGGAGGGGACACCTGTGTGAGATGGCTCTTTCCCAATGAACGCAATTTTCAGAGAGGAGCCCAGCTGGCATGTCTCACCTGCCCAGCCACCAGGAGATCAAGAGACAGTCTGGGTGGCACATCGAGTGTACACCCCAAGTGCCAACAAGGGACCATGCGTCACCTGATTTAACTACTCCTGCTCTCCTTGAACTTTCCCTCTGAATTAAGGGATTGTTATGAAAAGCTAATGTGGGAGAATACAGTTTTCCTTTATCTAAAGTCTTCCTACAATTGCTTCAATGCAATAGGCAAGAATTAAAAACTGTACTATGGCAAACAGCCTAGAAGCCCACCTACAGGCGAAGGGTGAATAAACTGGGGTGTATTCACACACCGAGCCCTGACCCAGCAGTAAAGAGGGACCTGCACATGCTCCTCATAGATGAGCCTTGGAATAGTGACGCTGAGCGAGGGAGCCAGGCCAGGGATGCTCACTGTGGGAGTCCGTCCACACAACACCTACAGAATTAAAGCCAGCCTTAGTTCAGAAAGCAGATGGTGATTGTTTTAAGAGGGGATGTGGGGAGGGCCAGGGAGGATTAAAAAGGCAGGGGGGGGGGCTCTTGATAGGTGTATGTGTATGTCAAAACTTACCCAATTGTACAATTCAAGTATGGACAGTCCATTATGTCAGTTATATGTCAATACAAGCATTTTAAAAACAGATATCTTATGGAAGGGACATGCCAGGCCTCAGGGACACTCAGGTGAGTAAGAAGCAAACTCTGCTTCCAGGGAGCTCAGAGTCTAGCCAGGGAGACAGATGTGCATTCAACTAAATCTAATGCAAATCAAAATAAAACTGGTATGATATCAAGAGAGAAACGAGCACAGGGCAAAGAAAAGTAGAGCATTTTTCTGGGAGTAGAGAGGAGCGTCAGTGCTAACTCATGCAGTGTTTACTATGTGCTGGGCACTAGAGTATATTAACATCCTCAGTTCTCCCCACAGCCATGTCTGGGTGCTGCCATGACGCCCGTTTCCCAGGTGAGAAAGCTAAGCTGTGGTTAGGAATCGTGTTCTTAGCCACTGGTCACACTGCACTCTGAGAAGCGCCCCGCTTGACCTGGGCTGGGAGGGTGAATAGTCTCCCCAGAAGAGAGGCCGCTCTTGGCAGAGAGGACAGTGGGAATTATGACCCAGTGTGCCTACAACTATGCTTGAAATATAGCACGAGTTTCCTATGGGTGTACACTGGGGAGTGCAGAAAAGGGACTGCAGGGAGATTGTGGCCAGGGCTGATGGCCTTGAATGATTGGCTAGAGCAGTGATGGTGAGTCAGAGGTGACACGCGAACTCATTTTTTTGGGGTGATTTTTCTTTGTTAAATGGCATTTAAATATATAAAATAAATATCAAAAATATGTCGTTGTTTTACTATGGTTGCAAATATCAAAAAATTTCTATATGCAACATGGCACCAGAGTTACACGCCGAGCTCAAAAGGTTCGCCATCACTGGGCTAGAGAGTTTGGACTATGTCCTTCATGCAAAAGAAAACCACTGGGAGATTGGACTAGAAGAAGAATATCAAAATGGAGCTTTAGAACGGAAGGCGAAGAGAAAGTCCACCTGTTTGCAGTTAGATGAACACCTGGTAAATGTCCTGTGAGTCCATTCACAGGTATTGCACTGAAACTATATTAAATCAATACATTTGGGATGGATTACACTGTACATTTAAGTTTCAATCTCAGACTATTTCATTCTCTGGTCACCTGAGTCCTGTATTCCTTGTTTTCACCTATGTTTCTGTACATTTTTTCACTCAACAGAAAACCACAATTGGACAATAGAGAAATGAAGTGAACCTTTTGCAAGCCCCTTGCCTGAATTTAGTTCAAAATTGGTGCAACTCCACCTACTCCACCCCCCGCCCCCTCACAGGTTTTAATGAAAAGTCCTATGATGGCATTTTAACTTTGTTTCATGTAAAAGTGATTTTTTACCTCCTCATAGACTCAAGTTACATGATAAGCTCAAGGTCTGAAAAATCAGCCGCGGCGTGTGCTGCTGAGTCCAGGACGTCCCGGACACCGACACGCCGCGGTGGCCCGCCTGGGCTTTGCCTGGGAAAGTCCGAACACCCGACACCGAGCAGCACTCCTAGGGGGAGTGTGAGAAGCTGGGCACTGGCCCTGGTCGGTTCTCACCGCCATGAACCTCACGTGTACTTTTCTGGGGCTTTCGTAAGAGGGGAGGCGACAGGGTATCACAATAAAGCCTCACTCGAAAGCAAGGGCATCAGCAGGAAAGTCAAATGCTTAGATGCCCATGGAGCCTGAACTATAGAAACTGGAGTCCATGGAGGGAACCTTATGAGGAAAAATAATTATCAGACCAAAGACTCAAAAGTGTCTCAGTTCTGCTACTGACTCACTGTGTCACCTCAGGCAAACTCCTTAATTCTTTATTTAGAACTTTTTAAATTATTTTTAGAGAGAGAGGGAGGGAGAGGGAGAGACAGACAGACATCAATGATGAGAGAGAATCATTGATCGGCTCTCTCCTGCATGCCCCCTACCGGGGACCCAGCCCACAACCAGGCGTGTGCCCTGACCAGGAATCAAACCAGTGATCTCTCGGTTCATAGGTTGACACTCAGCCACTGAGCCACACCAGCATGGCCTTAATTCTTTATTCTTTAAAATGGTACAATGCAATGCTCCCTGCTTCCAGAAGGAAGTCAATATATTTCAATATAGTCAACCAACAGGAGAACCTTCTACGGCCCCACCCACCGGCTGATAGCAGCGCCCACTCCCTGGGTTTCTGCTCCACTCTCACACTCAGCGCTGCCAGACTCCCGGACACGCCTGGAGAGCTTGGCAGACACAGGAGGCTCCTCATTCAAGTGGGAGTCTGATTAATCAAGCTGGGCTGACCCTATCCATCTGCATTTCAGCTGATGGCCCTAGGCATTCATGTCGCCATACTGCTTGAGACATATTAGATTTGTGCTAAACTTCTTAAGGAAGGTCGATTCTCTCTCCTCTTTTTATTCTTTCTACCTGTTGAATGGGTAACACATTTGAAAGACATTTTTGATGGATAGAATTTTTCCTACCCAAGCTCTTGACACATTTACAGACTATTAACACTCATGTCAATTAGAACCAGAAAATATTTCCTTTATAATTTTTCAAATATTACAGATTAGCCTCTATTTTCTAAACATAAAATCTATTAGTATGTTGCTGTGTGTCCCTGGAAGAATGAAATTGAGTCTATCTCAATTTGTCCAATTATTGAGGATTAAATATCAAAATTATTCATTTATATATTGTCACCTCCACTAGATCACAATATCCTAAAAACAAGGATTTATCTGTCATATCTGATTATATCGTAAAACAACGCATACTAGGTGGCTGAATAGATGAAGGGATGGAAGGATGAATGGATAGATGGATGATGGATGGATGGATGGACGGATGATGGATGGATGGACGGATGATGGATGGATGGACGGATGATGGATGGGTAGATTTTTTAAATGAGCAAATATGCGAATGAATGAACTCTGATCCTAATAACCATTATAAATTGTTGCCAGAATTAGAAATATAAAATATCCCCAACTTATTTAATTATAATTGTTTAATAAACTAGACAAGCACTGTGACAATAGGGTGACATTACCACACAGGGACTTTTTGATATCTCTCCCACACCTCCACCCCCCACCTCCCAGGCCTTGCAGCTAGTTGACGCAGCAGCACTACCCACGTGGAGTAGAGTCATTTGTGCCACCAACACATCACTCCTCTCTCCACAGTCAAGGTGACACGTGCGGCCTGTGCATGTTCCAGCAGGAGGTGTTGGGGGCAGCCAGCTAAGTGGGGGCTTCCAAGCCTGGGAGGCGGGCGACCCATGAGGTCACAGAGCCGCGGCTGCTCCCCTTCAAAAGAAACCGCTCTGCCCTCGCCTGCAGGCTCTGAAGGAAGCCAGGGCGACAGCACCCAGCAGCATGTGGTGGAGAGTTTGCAGCTGGCTGGTGTGGTGGTCTCTTCCAGGTAAGCCTTAGAGCTAATGTTCTCTGATGCTCATTTGACTTAATGTTTTGCCAAACCTTCCAGTCAACCAGCTGCATCCTCAGAGGAACTACTCTAGAAGGTGACCCAGGTAAATGTGCTCAGATGCCCCAGGGCACATCTGAGGGGAGCTAGTGCGTTTATTTAAGGGTAATGGGGACAGATGGCAAGGATTACTGCAGCGTGTGTCTCTGGGGGACCTTGGATGGCAAAATGTAACAAGTGTACCAGCTAAAAGAGCATCAGCTTTGGATTTAAAATTTCCTTGCTGTAGAAGTCTTAGCCAAATAATATAACTGTTCTGACATGCAATGTCTGTATCTTGAAATGAAGTTGATTACAATGTTTGATCTACCAAACTCCCTGGATTGTTAGAAGATTCAAATTTCAAATGTGAAAGCACTTTGAACATAGCCAAGTGCTACAGGACTCTTCCTGAGGTCAGAGATAATAATGAGCACAGCGAACCGTAGTGCTTATGTCCTAAGAGCCAGTTATACTTTACATTGTATTATAATTTTCAAATTTTATTTTTGTTTTTTTATTCCAATGAAGCATTATGCAAATTAAAGACTCAGTCACCTTTTGAGCACAGGTAACATTATTCCTGCCCAAGTGGGGTCCCTGATTGGTTGCAACTTGTATCAAATTCTGGCAGAGGAAACCACACATGAAAGTGCTGCTTGCTGGTGTGTGTGTGTGTGTGTGTGTGTGTGTGTGTTCGGACCCTGGGCCTGGAGGTATGTTTCACAAATGCAGTTATTATCCTAAGTCTGACTCACCATAGAATTGCATCGGAAAGGCTCTATTTAACAACTAGAGTTCCTCCTTTACGTAGTATTTTATTTTATACACTTCAATTTGTGCCTTCTTGTTTGATCCCTGTACCCTAAGGCACTTGATAAGTATTCAATTTCGTTAATAAATAATATCAGTTCCTTTAATAACTGACTTAAAGAATAGCTACTTACATTCAGAAAAACACACATTTAGACAGCTACAATTACAATGCTTTAAATTAGTCTGAAGTTTAACGCCCTTAACTGACCGTTACCTTTTTCAGGATTCAAGTTATTGTCATGTGAAACTGCCTCACAAAAATAAAATTTTAAATAAAAACAGCAATGACTATGTTTTATAACCTAGGTAAACCTGACACAAGTCATTTAGAAATATACTCAAATATTATTCATAAAGAGGAGAGAGAAATATGTTTATTGTGCAATGCACAGTACTGGGTAATTTTTGTTAATTACGTTTAATTTTAGCAAAGATACTGAGATAGGTATTAACATCCCTAATTTACATATGATAAAATTTGAGGTTAAAAGAAGTTAGGTAACCTGCCCAAGTTTTCACAACTAGTTAATGATAATGTAAGTAGCAGCCTACAAAGCACGTAGTAAAAGTATTTTCTCGTGAACCAATCTGTGTACATGTATGTGTGTGTATGCTTATATGTGCATGTGTGTGTGTATGCTTATATGTGTGTGTGTGCGTGTGTGTGCGTGTGTGCGTGTGTGTGTGTGTATGCTTATGTGTGTGTGTGTGTGTGTGTGTGTGTGTGTGTGTACTGGGTTGTGACAGAAAATGTGTTTCTTAATGTGGATCAAAAGTTTGACAGCCACTGACCACACAGTTGGGACATCCATTTTTGAGAAACCCCAGTGTGAAAACTCATCTAAGGCCCCAGAGGGCACCTGCCTCACTGAGGGCTGCCTGCCGGCTGCCTCTCTGGCCTGACCTTGCTCAGGCCCACCAGAGTCCCAGACAAGGAAGGAGCTGACCATGTTGCTTTGTTGGTAAAGAGGCGGCAAATCCATTTTGGCACCGCTATAAATGTCAGCTGTGTTTAGCTGATTGTATTATGGGAACATCACGCTACCTTCTAGTGTACAACTTCTAAGGCTGCGAAAAATTTATAGACCAGAGAAGTCCCATAATCTTGGAGCCGACCCTCTTGTCAAGGGTGTCATTGGCATAAATAGGTGCTAGGATGGTTAAAACAATAAGAATGAAGAATGTGTCCATGAATCCCATTGCCCTATACTGTGGACGATGAAATCCCACCCTGGGGCCTCCACTCTGGCTACCTGGTGGAGGTCGGACACAGGAGACCACAGCACAGCTGCAGGGTGAGTGGGTCCTGCTGACCCGTCTTTGGACCAGGAAAAGCCTTATGTGCACTGACACGTATTTGAGACATTTTATTTAAAGTTGTATTGAAAGTAATTCGATTCTGACAGACTAATTGTTTCACTTGTTATGCCATGTATTTATTCTATCTACAAAGTAGAATTGCCCCTCCTCGTAATGCACTGAGGGAGCAGAGCTTGCCTCCTAACTCATCATTCACGGAATAAGCTCTGGTTTGAGAATGACCTCGTTGCATGTGTCTGGTTTTAACTCAGCTCTAATCTTTATTATTCAACATAATAATTACAGAGTCAGCATCTTATTACTGCATATATACATTATGCATTTACTCATTTTTAGTCATTCATTCAACTGATACTTACAGCCTTACTCTGTGCTAGGACCTGGTCGTATGAAATGCAGGAATGGCAAACAGTTTCTCCAAGGAGATTGTAACCTCGCCCCGGGGACAGGCTTGTAACCACTCTGTGCAAAGGGCTGTGCTAGTGCTGGAGAGAAGTCTAGTCTGAGCCTGTGGGGCCTGGAGGAGTGTCAGCCAGTCCTTGTGGGCAGGGTGGACCTAACGGCTGTTGGCAGGTTGGACAAAAGCGGTGTAATTTGAGTTGAGTCTTGAAAGAGAGAAGAAAGGTATTCAAGGCCCAGAGAACAGTTGGGACCGGAGCCCAGTGTGTCCGGAGCCTGGGCCTCCCTGAGAGCAGCAATGGCCTCTGCATGGGGCATTTGAAAAGGAGCCTCAGCCAGTGGTGTGAGGAGAAGGCAGGAACCTTCTGGAATTTTGGTCTGATTCTTACAAGCAATGGAGCTGTACAAGAAGTCTAGGAAAGGAACACATGTGATCAAATTTATGTTTTTAAAAATGTAATTCTAGAAGCAGATGAGGATGATAAACTCGAAGGGCAGAGACCAGCAGGAAGTGATTGCAGGGGCAAAGAAAGAAATGAGGGAAGCCTCAGCTAGAGCAGTAATAGTAGCAAAAAGCAAACAAATAGAGAGAGCGAGGAATAATTGATTAAAGCTATGTTTTGGGAAGAGAGAGAGCCTCTCAAATCCCTGGTATGCAATGCTGGCGCTGACGTTAATGACGACTAGGAAGCACCGGAAGGAGGAGGTGGCAAGGCTGTGGGAGGTGTATGTGTGGCCTGGGGAGCAGTAGGAATAATGCGTTCCAGTTGGACACGTCCATTGAGGGTCCCTGCAGGACAGACTCTGTTCTGGAGCTTTTATTATTATCACACGCAAATCTACCCGACGAAGTGAGAAAAAGGAAGAATCCTTCGTTCTCTCTGCAGTCTACTGTGATGACCCCAAGTGGAGGTGGAGACCACGCACTGCAATCCCCCCGGGGCGGGCACTGAGGGTGCTAGAAGGGCACATGTACTTGCGTGTGCTGTGCAGGTGGCCGTGAGGCTGCTTGCCCTTCTGCTGAAGGGTGGTCACGTGCTTTGGCGTGGAGCCAACCCCCTGTCTGCACAGTTAGTTGATGGGGTTGGAAGTGGGGATGGGGAAGGTCACAGGTTCCAGTTCTGTACACAAACCAGTCCCGGTGAAGAGCCCTCACAGCCTGGCTCAGCAAGGAGCCTCATAGCACAAGCTGGGCACGGAGGGACGACTCCAGCCACCACAGTAACAACCAAGCCCAGAGCCCACAGTCCACTCCATGAGCCTGGCCTGCCAATGCGAGTGGTCACACCCAGGGAGACCTCAGCCCTCCCCGCCGAGCCCTGCCGGTGAGCGTGTCCGAGCCCCGTGGAACTCTGGAGCTCAGACAGGGAACGCCGGGCAGGAGGACAGGCGCTCAGGCCCCAGAGAAAGGGTGCGCATTTCTAGATCCTGCAGGGAGGAAGTGGTGAGCAGAGAAGACCCCACACCCCAGCCCTCTGATGCAGAAGGTGAAGCTCTGACTCCAGACTTAGGTGCAGTTGAACGGAGGAGCTCCAGTTCAGTTTTCAGCGTCAGTGAGAGGATCATGGGGAACGGTTACTTAGAAGAGGTGTCCTGCACCTAGGTCAGCTCTCTGCCCCCCTCTCCCGTCCCCCCCCCCCCCCCCCGCACAGGCTGCTCTCCTGCCTACAGTGACTTCCTGCCTCTAAATCAAGCCCAGGGTCTACAGGACAACCTGAAAGACAAAGAAGCCTGTGCAGCCAACAGCAAGGCTTGGAGCAAAGAGCAAAGAGAACAACGCATTTTCTATGCCCGAAACACAGCCTCTTTCCATCTAAGTGCAGGCATCTCCAGTCGTGGTCAGCCTGGTCAGTGCCTGATCCTGAATTACAGGAGCAAACACTAACCTTAGGAGACACAAAGCCAGACAATTTAATTCCTAGGCATGTATCCCAAGCAAAAGACCATGATCCTTAAAATGAGAGACATCTCTAATAATAAAAGCATAATATGCTCATTAGACCAAACAGCCCAATGGCCTTGGGACGACCTTCCGGACAAAGCCGGGGCTGCTAGGGCCGAGGCAAGCCGAGAGCCGAGCCCCTTGCACGATTTCGTGCATCAGGCCTCTAGTTCATTCATAGGCAGGCCGCTGATAAAGCTTGCCACTCCCATCTCCCAGATGCCGGCTTCGTCTCCACAATCATTTTACCAAAGGGAAGCACATTGGCAACATTTCTAAGTATAAACCTTGGGCCTCAAGGGTGAAATCAGGGCTGCTGGTTAACACTAGATTTTACTCTGTCATGGATTCAGTGTAGCCACTTCCCTCCTGTCTGTGTTCTTATTAGCAAGGAGAGAGCAGCAGTGCTGCCTGCACTGCAGTGCCAGCACGAGAGCTGGCGTTAAACCCTGTCTTAAGCTCACAGTGATCGTTCCTGTAAGTAATGAATTTTGGAGAAATGAAAGGCATACTCACTGCCCTCCAGAAAGTTCCATCGGTTTGTGGGAAGCGAGATAATGCACAAGAACTAGAGAGCAAAGCAAGAATCTTGATGTCATGGCTATGGAGACAATGGGGTTAGTTCTAGGTTCCGACTCTTGGCTCAGAAGCTGTTTAACCTTAAAAAATTCTGTTGTCACTCAAAGCCTCTCTACTAATATCCTTATTATTCAATTGTGGGTTGATTCTAAAGATTAGAATATTACCAAGGACGCACCCTAAGCAGAATTCTGGAACAATTCTGGAATGGAACAGTGAATTCCCAGAGCTCTCCAAAGTACTTTTCCTAATACTTGAAATTTATCACAAGCAAATAACTCCCTTCTTCTTTCTTTCTTTTTTTTTTTAAATTTAAACTAATGCAGTAAGACTCATTATATTTCATGTTCATATTTTCTAACCCCACAATATTCTTATGCTTCTGGGTGTGTTTTGTACTCTCATTGATAAGAATTGTCATCCTCAGAAAAAGTATTTTTTAAATTTAAAACTTGAAGAAATAACAAACAGCAACAAAGGTGCCAACTTATTTTTCCCATCCCTGTCCTTTTTGGGGGATAAACTTACAGCTGCTTCACATCAGTTGTTTGCTGTTCCCCGGGGCTGTGACGGGGGCGGGGAGCCCCATCCTCCGCTCTATCCTGGATGCCTGCAAAAGGTGCTCCTTCATAAGCAAGGCCAGGAGGCCGGGGCCTGGGGCTCCTCACTCAGTCGGTGGAGTTCCAGGGCTGCAGACTCTGCAGCGTGCAGACCTGGGTGCAACCCACTCCCAGGCCTGTGCGACCTTGAGCCTCTGTTCCCTCATCTGTAGAGGGGGCCGCATAATTCTTCCTTCGAGGGTTAGTTTGAAAGTTAAATTAGATGCAGGTAAGCCTGGCGGTGTGGCTCAGTGGTTGGTGTGGCTCAGCCAGGAGGTCGCTGGTTCAATTCCGATCAAGGGCACATGCCCAGTTGCGGGCTCTACCCCCAGCAGGGGCATGCAGGAGGCAGCCGAGGGATGATGCTTCTCTCTCATCCATGTTTCTCTCTATCCCTCTCCCTTCCTCTCTCTCTAATGGTCAATAAAAACATATTAAATATATCATAAATAAATAAATGCAGTTAAGAGGAAATGACGTAGGACAGAGCAAGTGCCAGTAGATGTCCAACTGTCCCCTTTCCCATCCAGACCCCCCACCCCTTTCAGCCCTCCTTCCCTCGCATGTTGGTGCCGGCTGAGGTCCTGTTTCTGGATGAAATGTGTATAACTACTGGAATAATTGGGGAGGTGGGTTGAGGCTGAGTCCCTGCGGGTGGTAGTGGGTTCTGGAGCCAGCTGATCACACCCCTTCTCTCCCTTGTGTTAGAAATAAGGCGCCCCGAATCCAGGGGTCCCGGTGCGCGCAGAGCGCCCTGAATCCAGGGGTCCCGGTGCACACAGAGCGCCCTGAATCCAGGGGTCCCGGTGCGCGCAGAGCGCCCTGAATCCAGGGGCCCCGGTGCGCGCAGAGCCCCAGGGCCAGGCCGCGGGCACAGCTTCCCTCCGCAGGAGGCACAGGGCCTGGGAGGACCTGCCCTGAGCTGGTCCCTCAGGTAAATCCTGACGCACGTGACCCGTCCCTCACTCCTGATTGGAGCTCAGGCGCACAGTCTTTCCCGATTGGCTAATTCAAAGGGAGGGGCTGGTCTTTGTGGTTTCCTGATGGGGCCCCAGGGGGCTGCAGGTCATGCGGGTGGAAATGGCAGCTGTTGGACAGGAAAGATGACTGTCTATTCTCACACTCGCAGCGGCCTCCCTGGGCCCCGCGGAGACGGTGGAGGTGGAGGAGGGCCAGCCGGTGACCCTGAGCTGCGTGGCGCCCCCCGCGGAGCGCGGCCCCCTGCAGTGGCTGGCACCCTCGGGGTTCACCATCTTCTTAAACCAGCATCGCGGTGAGTGGAAGAACATGGATGGCCCCCTGCTCCCCCGGGCGTCTTGGACAGACACGGCGCCGGAAGCCCGGGGGGCCGGTAGGACCGCAGAGGGCGGAGCCCCGCCAGCTGTGCCACACGTGGCCGCAGGGGCCTCTGCACAGGAACCTCCCAGTGGCTGGGCAAGGAGCTCACAGCAGAAGCCCTTTTCCTGCCCGGCCTCGCCCCTCACCCACATCACGGTGCCAGTCTCCGTGACCATGGATGGGCAACAGCACAGATGCCCGGTCCCACACCTGCGGCCGCTGCGCCCTGTGCCCTCCACTGCCCCTGCCCTCCCTCAGTCTCTGCACAAACTCCTCATGGGGCCCAGCCTGCATGCAAAGGCAGTCGTTTTCCGTTTTATTGAGAGACTAGGGGCCCGGTGCATGGATCCATGCAGGGGTGGGGTCCCTCGGCCTGGCCTGCGGGGATTGGCCGAAACCTGCACCAGGCCTCCGACATCCCCTGGGGGGTCCCAGAGGAGAGGGCTCAGGCCAGGCCGAGGAACCCCACCGTGCACACACTGGGCCTTTAGCATGCATATGAGATCTTTGGTTAATCTCTTCCTGCCCTTGCCCCCACTTCCTTCTGAGATTCATCAGTCTGTTCCATGTTTCCATGCCTGTGCATTGAGAATCTGCCTCCTGGTGGTCAGTGTGCACTGTAGCTGCCGGTTGAGTGGTTGAACAGTCAGATACTTAGCATATTAGCCTTTTATATGTATAGATTATTGACATATGGGTTTCAGGTGTACAACATAATGATTGACATGAGTATATATTCAATAAGTCTGATTAGCATGTGTCCCCTCACGTAGTTACATTGTTGTTGCCTGCAGGATTCTTAAACATCTATTTCATTCATCTCTAGAGCAGGATTCTAACCCTCCTCTTCATACTGAGGTCATTATATATGCCCACTCAACATTTCCAAGGCCACATGCTTGGAACGTCTTTAAAACAGCAAACTTCATTCTGCCTTTGAAAAGCAGAGCCTCTGACAATGTAACAGGCTCTGAAACCATGACGCATTGATATGGTAGGTGTGGAATAACTGAGTGTACTTATTTCAAGCTAAATGAACCCTGAAGGCTAGATCCCAATACTATTGTTAAAAGTTCTGACTGAGAAACTTTATGTAGAGACTAGAGGCCCAGGGCACAGATTCATGCACAGGTGGGGTCTGGCAGGCCCGCCCCAATGGGTGCTGATGGGGCCTGGCCAGCGGGGGGGTAGGGAACTCAGGAGGTTGGCCGGCTGGACCCACCCCCAATCAGGGGGGGGCAATCGAGGGTGGGGCCAGCCAGGGGGAGGGGCTGCGGGTGATTGGGGCCTCAGTGTGCATCATAGCGACTGGTCGTTTTGGTCATTTCAATCATTCCTTCATTCCAGTTGCTTGGCTTTTATATATATAGACAATGCTGTTACATAATGCCTTTGAATGTTTTGTTTTGGGCTTTTTAAGGTGATGGCATGACCAGATGTCTCCCCAGGAGGCCTGGATCTAGCTGGGTGGTTCCCCTTGCCCCTGGACATTGTTGCTGTAAATGGGGAAAGGGGGCAGGGGGACCCTGGCATGTAGTATGCAGAGAGGCTGGGATCAGGGGTCAGGGATGCATTTAAACTCCGTACAGTGCACAGAACAGCTCCCACGACAAGGAATCAGGGACTCAAAAGTCGATAGTGCTGAGGTGAAGTCCTGCTTCTAGTTCATCCGACATCGGAGGGACACAGTGTGGTTCTGGGTGAGAAATAGCTTTCCTTGCTCAGCCATTCTTGGTTTAACAGGTCTAGGCTTGTTCATATTATAAATCTCAACAGAAAAAAAAAAAAGAAAGGGAGGGAGGGAGGGAATGAGTGAAGGGGAGGAAGGGAGGGAGGGAGGGAGGGAGGGAGGGAATGAGTGAGGGGGAGGGAGGAAGGGAGGAAGGGAATAAGGGAGGGAGGGAATGAGTGAGGGGGACGGAGGAAGGGAAGGAGGGAAGGAGGGAGGGAAGGAGGGAGGGGGAGGGAGGGAGGGAAGGAGGGAGGGAGGGAGGGAATGAGTGAGGGGGGAGGGAGGGAGGGAGGGAAGGAGGGAGGGAATGAGTGAGGGGGAGGGAGGGAGGGAAGGAGGGAGGGAGGGAGGGAATGAGTGAGGGGGAGGAAGGGAGGGAGGGAGGGAGGAAGAGAGGACTGGTTAGCTGAGGGCCTCAGACTGCGATGGGCCTCCCCATAGAACCGAGAGGAACAAACACCTGGAAGGACTAAGTCATAATTTGGGGGGAACTTCAAATAATAATGAACTCTTAAAAATAAGAAGCACCCAGCTGGACAATGAATACCAATGCATTTATTTTACATTCTTCACACTCATTCTGACAAGACAACATCAAGTGAATCAGATTTCAAAAGGTAAATCATAGTGGGGCATTTTTTTTTAAGCAAACACATCCTTTAAAAAAAGAACACAGTTTTTTTTATTTTCTTTTAGAGAGAGAGAGAGAGAGAGAGAGAGAGAGAGAGAGAGAGAGAGAGAGAGAGACATGGATGTGAGAGTGCCTCCTGCGTGCTCGCCTGGGGCTGGGCCAAAACCCAGCATGTGCCCCAACCGGGAATCCAACCAGCAACCTTTGGGTTCATGGGACAATGCCCAACCAGCCAAGTCACACCAGCCAGGGCTAGTGGGGCGTTTTTCACAATGTAACGCCCCAAATTCTGTAAAATTCCCCTGCCACCCGAGCCGTCCACCGGCATAGTGTTCTTAATTTCCTACAGACAGAAATAAAGCAAATGCTTATTTCACAGATACCAGGACCAACATATTTTATTTCCTACTCTCATTTCAAGCTTAGGAGAGGCATCCAGCTGGTAACACTAGAGTTTGTAAGTCAACTCAATCCAAGGTGTGATATTTGTTCCTTTAAAGTATGGAAATCAAGAGCTATTCCTGCGAATAATCCATCCACCAAGAATCTATATTCATCTGGTACTTTTCCTCATAACATGCTCTCCCCCTCTCCCCCCATACAGCTTTAAAAAATACCAAATACCAGCTTCTTCATCACTCCCCCAATGAGCTCTCCATCCGCGTGGCCAATGTGACTCCGCACGACGAAGGCGTGTACACGTGTTTACATTACAGCCGCTCCGTGAGGAAAACAAAGGCAGTGAAAGTGGTGGTGCTGGGTGAGTGCCTCACAGCAAGGTGCCAGGAGGGAGTGGGGCACCAGGAGGGAGCGGGGCGCACAGGAACATTACATGTCATTTCTAACCTTAACATTTTAGTTTTAAAAGGTTCCCTCTAGCTATGACCTGGGCACCTCTGCCATCTTTTGTTGGAAGGAAACAGAAGGGAACACTTTGACTGCAAGCCCTTAGATCAGTGGTTCTCAACCTGTGGGTCGTGACTCCTTTGGCAGTCGAACGACCCTTTTACAGGGGTCACCTAAAACCATCCTGCATATCAGATATTTACATTATTATTCATGACAGTAGCAACATTACAGTTATGAAGTAGCAACAAAAATAATTTAATGGCTGGGTCACAACATGAGGAACTGTATTTAAAGGGCCAGAAGGTCGAGAACCACTGCCTTAAATTAAAATGTGAATTTATGAAAGTTGTCTTTGGACTCAACTAAGTTTTCTCTCCCGGGAACTAAAAAAGAGAATTAATATTTGATGACCTGTGACTAGGCTCCAGGGGACCAGAGGTGAACTGGGCACCACCTCTGCTCACAAGGCCCTCGCACACTCGTTCCGGAGGGCAAAGCGTGTGTAAAGAAAGTAGAGCATTATGACAGCAATGAAGTCAGATGTGACTGCACTGGAAAATCAGCTCACATCCTCTGCCCAAACCATTTCCTCTCTCTTGCAGGGGGTGGGGGTGGGGTGGCGGGACTGGAGGAGGAGTGACAGCCTCCTGACCCAGCGACCTGGCTCAGCTCTGGGTGTCACTTTTGGCAGGCTCACGTCCACTATCTTTACCTGCCGGCTTTCTCTGTGGCAGAACAGCTGAATCAACAACGTAATTCCCCATGTCATACCAATGAACTCACGCTTCTCTTACTGAGTTAGTATGTGCGGTGCCGTCCGTAAAGTAATGGCATGGTGACAAAGTGTCAGGAAAGGGGTGGCTCCTGGGGCAGACCCATGTGCTCAGCCCAGGGCCTTCTGTCCCCCTCGCTGGCCACCGCACAGCACTCCGCTCGGCTGTCTGTGTGTCCTCCTGGCAATCAGAGCAGCCGTGAACACCTCCGTCATTGCACTGTCACACATGAGCCTTTTCCCCACGTGATCTTTTCATGAACAGTTTTGGGTGGAGTCTGTCACTAAACTACTAGTTCGGCATCTAACACATTGAACCACACTTGGCGCTGGCTTCCCAACGCCTGGATGGCAGGTAGATGAGTAAATGAATGTGAAGAGCGCAGGTCAGGACCAATGTGTGAAGTAGAATGGGAAGAGCAAGAGACTGACCTCAGAGTATGTCCAAGGCAGGAGCAGGAAGAAAGAGATACAGGAGCCCTTTGTAAGACACATGGTCTTTGATGTTGGAAGAGAGAAGCAACTTGTGGTGAAGTGAGTCATAGACTCAGGGAGTTTAGGGCTTAAACAGCCAACTTATAACCCAATGTCTTCATGTCACAGACCAGGAAATTGATAAACCAAAACATCAGATGACTAACCCAAGTTCTTACAACTAGTTGGTGACAAAGGTGGAGTGAGAATTCAGGACTCTATTCCTCACCTAGTGCTCAACCAATCAACACAGTCCTATATCAAAGGTGAAGCATTGCTTTTGTAAGAGAGTCAGTTGGAGGATTCCCAGGGACTAATCACATGCTGGGCAGCAACCATCTGACTCTCGCCAAGTAGCTACGCAGGCACAGCAAACTCCTAACTCTGTTCTGGGAGCGGTCAGGTGGAGATACGCCTTGACTCAGCCCAGGCCCACAGTGACCGCTGTGTGAGCAGGCTCTGGGCTTCCTGAGATATGCAGACCAGCTAACTCAGCACAGAAAACTCGTGTTTTTTTCTAGCAACTCCTCTCAAGTCAACCCTGGAAGCCTCCGTTATCAGAATGCAAAACAGGGAAGAGCAGGTGGCACTTATGTGCTCCACAGTGAGGAGCAGGCCCCCGCCACAGATAACCTGGCAGCTGGGGAACCACACGGAGCTCCCAGGTGAGTGCAGGCTCTTGGCCTCCCTCCTGGTTTACCTCCTAAATGTCTGAACAATTCTGTGAATGGTTTGGCGCCCCCCGGTGGCAGGAGGTGTCAGAAATCACCATTCAATAATTTTCTGTTCTTTATAACCAATTGCTGTTACATTTTAATCTTGGAAGGCTAATCACAAATAACGTTATAACACTAGAGGCCTGGTGCACAAAAATTTGTGCACTTGGAGGGGGAGGAGGTCCCTCAGCCCGGCCTATGCCCTCTTGCAATCTGGGACCCCTCGGAGGATGTCCACCTGCTGGCTTAGGCCTGCTCTCTGGGGGGTTGGGCCTAAGCTGGCAGTCAGACATCCCTCTGGCAGCCCAGCAACCCTCGAGGGATGTCCACTTGCCAGCGGGGAGCAGGCCTAAGCTGCAGTCGGACATCCTTAGCACTGCTGAGGAAACGGGAGAGGCTCCCACCACCACTGTACTGGCAACCGTCAGCCTGGCTTGTGACTGAGCAGAGCTCCCCCTGTGGGAGCACAATGACCACCAGGGGGCAGCTCCTGCATTGAACATCTGCCCCTGTGGTCAGTGTGTGTCACAGTGACCAGTCATTCCCAGTCATTCTGCTGTTAGGGTCAGTTTGCATATTTCCCTTTTATTATATAGGATAGAGGCCTGGTGCATGGGATGGGGCTGGCTGGTTTGCCCTGAAGGGTGTCCTGGATCAGGGTGGGGGTCCCTGCTGGAGTGCCTGGCCAGCCTGGGTGAGGGGCTGATGGCTGTTTGCAGCTGGTCACACCCCCTTCAGGGTGGGGGTCCCCACTGGGGTGCCTGGCCAGCCTGGGTGAGGGACTGAGGGCTGTTTTCAGACTGGCAAAGCCCCCCCCTCACCCCCACCCCCGCCCAGTGACGGAAGCTCCCAACCTCTTTTTTTTTTCTTTTTTCTTTTTTTATTCTGGGATTTATTTACCTTCTATAATTGAAACTTTGTTGCTTTGAGTGGAGCTCAAGCTGGGCCGTGGCAGGCGGGAAGCTTGGCTTCCTCCATCATTGGGGCAACCAAGCCTCCTGCTTGCTCCAGCTCCGTGGCTACTGGCCGCCATCTTGGTTGGGTTAATTTGCATATAGTTGCTCTGATTGGCTGGTGGGCATGGCATAAGGCATAGCAAAGGTACAGTCAATTTGCATGTTTGTCTTTTATTAGTGTAGACTAGAGGCCTGGCGCACAAAAATTTGTGCACTTGGGGGGGAGGGGGGTCCCTCAGCCTGGCCTGTGCCCTCTTGCAGTCTGGGACCCCTCAGGAGATAACGACCTGCTGGCTTAGGCCTGCTCCTGGGTGGCAGAGGGCAGGCCCAATCTCTAGGTGCAGCCCCTGGTCGGGCTCAGAGCAGGGCCGATTGGGGAGTTGGGGCACCGCCCCCTGTCATGCACAGAGCAGGGAGATTGGGAGGTTGTGATGCCACCCTCAGTCACGATCAGGGTAGGGCCAATCAGGGGGTTGGGGCACTGCCCCCTGTCACTCACAGAGCAGGGCCCATCAGGGGGGATGGGGCTCTGTACCCTGCCACGCACAGAGCAGGGCCAATCAGGGGGTTGGGGCGCTGCCCCCGTCACACACAGAGCAGGACCCATCAGGGGGTTGGGGCACCGCCCTCAAACACCCACAGAGCAGGGCCGATCAGGGGGTTGGGGCGCCGCCACTCTCACACTCAGGGCAGGGCCAATGGGGAGGTTATGGCTCTACCCTGTCACACACAGAGCAGGGCCCGTGGGGGTGGGGAGTTGGGGAGCTCCCTCCTATCAGGCACAGAGCAGGGCTGATCAGGGGGTTGGGGCACCTTCCCCTGTCACGAACAGAGCAGGGTGGATAGGGGGGTTGTGGCCCCACCCCCTGTCACACACAGAGCCACAGGGTGATCAGGGGGTTTGGGCACTGCCCTGTCACGCTTATCCCGGTGCCGGGAGGCCTCTCAGCTCTGCTGATCCTGGTGCTGGGAGGCATATTACCCTTTTACTATATAGGGTAGAGGCCTGGTGCAAGGGTGGGGCCGGCTGGTTTGCCCTGAAGGGTGTCCCGGATCAGGGTGGGGGTCCCCACTGGGGTGCCTGGCCAGCCTGGGTGAGGGGATGATGGCTGTTTGCAGCTGGTCACACATCCTTCAGGGTGGGGGTCCCCACTGGGGTGCCTGGCCAGTCTGGGTAAGGGGCTGAGGGCTGTTTTCAGGCTGGGGGTGACTGAAGCTCCCAACTGCTCCTTTTTTTCTTTTTTTTTTTTTTATTCTGGGCCAGCTTTAGCTTGAGGCTTGGCTCCAGCTCTTAGGCCTCTGTGGCTGAAAGTAGGTTTCTGGCCTTTGCTTACAATGTTGCGAATCTGCTGGCTGAAGTCCGGCGGTATTTGTTACAGAGTTTCTTAAACTGCCCACTCAGAGGCCTGCAGTGCAGGCGGGGAACGTTGGTTTCCTCCGTCACTGAGGCAACCAAGCCTCATGTTAGTTTCAAGCTGCCTGGCTGCCCGCAGCCATCTTGGCTGATAGTTAATTTGCATATCTTGCTGATTAGCCAATGAAAAGGGTAGCGGTCGTACGCCAATTACCATGTTTCTCTTTTATTAGTGTAGATGTTTTGTGCAAAGCAAGGTAGAAATCTAAAATGTGATATTTATAATACCATCTTAAAATTTGACAACATTTTATAAAATAAAAGACAAAATGGAGCTATTACCTGTGAGCATAAACTTCTTACTAGGCATAACATTGAAAGCACATTTAACATGCTACATGGCCTTTCTTATATGGGGCAGAACAGTGTCATACCCTCGATGACAGTAAGTAATTATGTAACAGAATCTAAGCTTCAAGCTGCTGATGGAAGCGGGTAACTGTCACACATAGAAACGGTTTGAGCTTGTTTCTATTTCAGCAGCGTTACACGTGGTTTGACATCATCTTGGTTCTTAGAGCTGAAGGACCCTTTCTGGCGGGGAAACCGAGGCCAGTGAGCCCCGCGCAGCTGGCCCGGCTGCTCCAGCGCCTCTTGTTTATTCAGTGGAAGGCTCGCGCCTCCGGGTCCTGCCGGAGGCCAGCTGTCTTCGCCCAGCAGGCACGCCTGGGGGCTGTCAGGAGGGGAGGGTTGATAGGAGCCTCTCCGCTGTGGTCACCGCTGCCCTCTGTGGAGGCCAAGCACACGCAGGCAGCGGTCTGTGGTCAGAGTGAGGGTAGGAGGCTCACAGGCTGGCAAGAGGGCCAGGCCTGGTTTCCGAGAGCCGCACCGCCAGGAACCGCCGGCAGCCCGGCCTGGCCTCACGCACCTGGCCTCACGCAGCGCCTGTTGCCCGCAGGGAACACCTCGCACGCCTTTGACAGCGACTGCAGGGCCTGGAACAGCAGCAGCGCGCTCAGGGTCCCCGCGCGCCGGGGCTCCGCGGTGGACTGCGTGGTGCGCCACAGGGGCCTCCGCGGAGGGCGGCTGGTGGTCTCCTTCCGGTTTGAAGATTTGGGTAAGAACTGATGACGTCTGTCATCATTTTCACTTTCCTCAGTGTTATACTACCAAACCCAATGGAAGGAAGCTCCCCTTAGCAAGTTCTCTTAATGATGGAAGCTTCTCCAGCTGGGCAGCCGGTGGCAGCTTTTCCCGCACTCCTCGCCCCCACCCCGCCCCGCTGCCTGGGAGCCGCGTCCGTGTCACACGCTCAGTGTCAGCTGGCTTTCTGATTGTGACGTTACACGCTCACGCGTCACGCCTGCTTTCTGATCGTGACGTCACATGCTCACGCGTCACGCCTGCTTTCTGATCGTGACGTCACACGCTCACGCGTCACGCCTGCTTTCTGATCGTGACGTCACATGCTCACGCGTCACGCCTGCTTTCTGATTGTGACGTCACATGCGCACAGTGCCATGCTGGCTTCCTGACCCTGACGACCAGGTCAGGGACGTGCCTCATTGCAGCGCAGTCATGTTTCGGGGAGACCATATGAACCGCACCGCGCCTTTTTATTTGACCCCAAAGGAGGTCATACGAACTGAAATCCATCTAGCGTGTCGATATCATTTGATGTGAACACGAGGCACTCACTTGGGGACATTGTCATGATCATTCTGTAGATGTTAAACTGTTTTGGAAGATTTTAGTTTAATCGTTAATATTCTGATCAAACACAAGACAGTAAAAATCAACAAAACATCAAGTATTCAAGGCGAAGAGGAGTGGCTTCCATTTTCAGAATCTCTAGTCTCCGACTCCTTGGCCGTAAGGGGAAGAAACACTTTTTACGCGAGAGAACCTTTTGAGCAAGAAGCTCCGAGTCCCGCGTGGTGCCAGCGCGCACGGCGCGTCAGGCCTCTCTCAGGGGCAGCGCCTGGAACCGCTCCCTGCGCCCGCGAAGCAGGAGCCTGTGCGGCTGCCGGAGCGTCCTCTGTGGTCCGCGTGAGCCAGTGCCTGAAAGGCCCCTGCTCCCGGACCGGACCTGGGAGCTGCCCCTGGCTCCCCGCATCCCTCGCTGCCACCGCGCCCACCGTGGCTTCCATCAAACCGCAAGCGCTCCTTGCGGCGGCTGCCTTTGGGAGACTCGGACCCACAGCCGGCGGCGGGGCTGTGACCTGACGCAAATACTCGGCCTCCGCGCCCATCGCCCATCGCCCATTGCCCATCGCCCACGGGTGGAGGGAGCACAGGGCAGGCGGGGCCACGGGAGGTCACGAGGAGAAGGAGACTGGATGTAGCTGATGCTCCTGAAAGGATTCCCGCGATTCTGAACCAGAGCACCCGCAGGCAGCCCGCAGCTCGGAGCCTCACCTGCCAGACCGCACAGCAGCAGCGGCTCTGACCGCCCCAGGGACCGACTTCATCTCCGCGGCCCCCAAAGGCGGAGTCCTGATTTCCTACCGCTTATCTGACGATGGGATAAAAACAGAAAGTTGAGCAACTGTGGAACTAACTTTTTAACAGCATTTAATCTTTTTAAATTTGAATTTAAATAGTCGTAGCACCTGGTGGTGCTGCATGGACTAGCCGAGGGCTGTGGCATCTGATCAACCAGAACGACAAGTCTCCAGTCCCGCCATCAACCTCTAAAGCGGTTTGCCCAGCAGCTTGCCAACTGCGAGGATAAATCCAGCTTAATATCTATGGACTCCAGTTCATATAGATTCATGCATAAAACAGCTTCTATGGATATAGATGCATGCAACATAGAAAATATAGAAATATTGCCTGTGTATGTATATATGGTTTTTATATATATGTATTATTATATATCCAACAAGATATATAATGTGTATATATACATATACATACCCTGTTTTGTACATAAACATATAATTATCTAATTTTACATAGTATACTATACATTACTCTAGAAGACCTTAACATGGATAAATTTTATCCTATGTGTCCCCAATATTTCTCATATGTTGCTCTTCTTGTCATTTTCTTCTAGTGCTTCTAGTTGTCTCACTTTCAAGCATTTTCCTCTTTTCCTTGCCAGTAACTCTCCCGTTTCTTCGATTTTCTCTGGTGTCTTTGTGGTCACCGAGTTCGTTTTACCTTCAGTCCATGTCACTATTTCTCTAGTGTTTCCTTAGTGGTTCGTCTTCCTTTTCTTGGCGCTCTTGTGTGCAATTCAGGCTTTTTTTAAACAGTTTTCAAAAAATGTTAGTGTTTAATTAAAACAAGAAGACACTAAAATCAGGGAACCCTTTGATTAAATGAAGTTCTCATAGATTTCATAGGGACACGCCCCTTGTCGCCTATCAGTATTTGCAAATTGACGGAAACTTTTTTTTTTAAAATATATTTTATTGATTTTTTACAGAGAGGAAGGGCGAGAGATAGAGAGTTAGAAACATCGATGAGAGAGAAACATCGATCAGCTGCCTCCTGCACATCTCCCACTGGGGATGTGCCCGCAACCCAGATACATGCCCTTGACCGGAATCGAACCTGGGACCTTTCAGTCCGCAGGCTGATGCTCTATCCACTGAGCCAAACCGGTTTCGGCCAGAAACCTTTTTATACGCTCCTTGGGTGCAGGCCTATTCACAGCTCAGAGCTGTGCTAAGCGGACCTCTAGAAACATTTCTAGACACTGTTTTATATTATACAATTACCATTTAGTAAGCACTGTGCTTAACAAATAGCCGGCATAGTGCTAAACATGTGGTATGAATTAATTCTCACAGAAAACGCCAAGAGGTAAATGCACTTAGTATCTTCATATTGTAAGTATTAAGAAACTGAGCATTCAAAACATTAGGCATCTTACTCAGATTCACTCAGCATCAAGCAAGTAAAGCATTGGAACCCAACCCCGTCTGAGCCTGATCCAAAGCCACCTAAGAGGGAGTGGCTAGGTGTGTGAGTGGGTAGATGATGGACAGCAGGGGGTGGGCAGGGAGAGACGAGTGGAGAAGGCGGAGGCACTTTGCCCCCGGGTGCCAGACGCTCCTCCCCAGAGGTCACAGGCTGCACCCCGAAGCCAGGGAGCTGGGCAGCCGGGGGCCACAGGGCCACACACCAGCCATGAGCTACAGAGCAGCAGTTCTGAGGCGTCTGCAGAACCTCCGCGAGCAGGTAGCAGGTGAATACATCCTCCACCCTGTGCAGTGAGCACGCTGTGGGCAGGCTTGGTCTTCATCGTGGCAGAATTTTGTTTTTCCCTTTTCTAGTTACCGGTCAAGAGGTGGCCTCAGATGCCCCGGGGAAAAGCTCTCCATCCTCACAAGACGCCCTGCAGGCCGCTAGCACTGGTGAGTGTCGAAATCATTCCAACTTTAAAAATCCTGCCTCTTTGGGAACTCAGTTTTCCAATAATAAGTTATAAGAAAGTGGTTTCTTGTTTTGTTTTGTTTTGTTTTGTAACAAGACCATTCAGGACTCCCTCCAGCTTTGTGGTGACTGGAGAAGTGCCATAGTTAACCATTGAGGGTTCAGAGTAGCTAACACCTTGTAAGCTTTCTCTCTCTCTCTCTCTCTCTCACCTTGTGACATTTGCATGTCCACTGTGGAGACTCGTTTCTTTGCTTTTCCATCTAGAATAGACCAAAAACAAAGAGAAAAGGAGCAGGACCTGGAGATTTGATGTTTCTTATCATCAAGTAACAAAGTCACCTTTGAAAGTTTGTCACTTACTTGGTTGTCAAAAACTCAGATAGTTTTAATGACAAAATTGAACTATAAATGCAGAAGAATGCAGAAAGCCTACATTATAATTTGTAGACAGTGAGCCCACTCGCTGCTGAACTCTGGACAATGATCACATATGTCAGTTACGTTTTATCTCACTCAGCTTAGCATCTGGTAACAGCCAGTGCTGAGAAAGTGCAGTAGCAGCCACTGGGGGCAGGATGCAGGTGGCCGTGGTGCGGTGAGCGCCACCGTGAGCCTCACCCAGAGAGGCTGCAAGTCCGACTCTTGCTTTTCAGAGGCATCTGTAACAGTGCGATTGGTGGGATAAATGCTCTCATAGCATCATCACGTGCACACTTCTGAGTATCAGATCACACTTAAAAATTGCTTATCTTGAATCATATTTAAAAGTAAATGTTTGGGGGTTTTAAACTGGTAAATACACTGTGTGCCATAAAGGTTTTGAAGAACAATGGAAATTGAAAATATGAAGTAGAATAGCCACATCATTTGCTTCATAAGCCAATATTTTTATAAATGTTTAGAATCTAGTTGTCTTTAAATTGGCTGACACTCAATTTTTTAACAACTCAATTTTTTGCTCTGCCTTTTCATATATAAGAGTTTAAAAATGTGGTTTCTAAAACTCCTTTCAGTTTTCAATTTTTACAATTTTACTTACTGTTAACAATAGCCATTTCAGTAGGAGAACAGGTGGTTTCACTCCCTTGTGTAACGGGCTAAAAAGCCAGAGACTACAACGGGAAAAACCTAGGGAGGAGAAACAACAAAATCAGGAAAAGATTGTTGTGACTTTTACAAACTGTCTCCCCTAGCAAAGGCACCTGGTACATCCCTCCCCTGGGGGTGGGGACGCACACAGGTTTGAATGACAGCCGAGCCCACTTCTAACATCAAGGCATTGCTTTGTGCATTTCAGGCTCAGGCTTCCCATCCGTAGAGCTCGGACGCCTCCTTCACTGTCCAGGTGTCTCCGGAGGCATCCTACGGCCTCACCGATAGACCTGGTTCAGGAAGGAAGGGCACATAACGGTTTTATGCTGGGCTCTGACTTTCAGTGTTGGCTCCGCCACTGCTTTGCTGCAGGACTTTAGCTGACTTATTTACATTTTCTAAAACTCTGCTGCCCCAGAGCTGTGGTCAGAAGTAACACGCTCAGTCTAAGGCCTGGTACAAAGCAAACGTTCAAAACACATTAACCTTCAGAAAATAAGGCAAAGCAAGCCAGACCATTCACCTTTATTTGGGGAAGACATCTGTCGTTCAGAAGTGACCTCATTGTTCTTAGTGAGCATCACTAAACTTGGTCGCCAAAGCTGTTTGCTGCTTCTGGATGACCTTGTGTGGATACACTCTATGCACAGTCGGAGGCATACGTCCTGTGTTGCTCTCACCTTAGTTGCAGTGATGGAAGGTTTTAGTACATCAGCGACGGACAAGGAAGAGGAGGAACAAACCACTCAAGACCCCGACTTGACCGCTGGTACGTGTCCCCCACCACCTTTAGAGTAAACACTTGACATTTCAACCTCTTAACCAGTAAGCCCAATGTTTTTTTCTCTTGACTTTTCTGTTGTTCACATCACTGCTCCCTGACTTAGCTACCTCCTGCCTCCCTGGTCCGTGCGTTTGCTGCCACTCCTGTGCCCATTAGCTGACTGCCCTCCCTCCGATCACTTCCTGTACGTAGACGTGTTTCTGATTTTACTTCCCCATCCTTGGTTCTTTCTTTAATACGTAAAGAGTTGACCCCTTCCCAAGACTGTCCCTGATGCCACCGGGCAGGAGATTTTGTACTTGTATTTCCAGAACATTCTCCTGAGCATTAGTCCCTGTTTCATCCCAGTTCCTACATTTCTCAAGTGGAATTTCCTGCCAACTCCTCAAATTCAACATTGCTAACCACTGAGCAACCTATGTTCCCACAAAATCAGCTCAGGCCCAAACTACGGTGTCCTCCTTCATGACTGTCTCTGCGTGTGTATGTGTGTGTGCGTGTGTATGCATGTGTGTGCATATATATCCACGTGTGTGCGTGTGTATGCATGTGCGTATATACACATCCATATGAAACCAGGGCCTTTTGAGTCATTTCTTTCAGGTATTTTGATCCTGACCCTCATCATCTCCTGCATGCAGTATTATAACTTCAGCTTTCCTCTGTCATCCATTGTGAGCACCTTACCATCCAAACATCCCGTCGCACTTTTCACACCTGTGTTCAGGAAACCTCTGCGGCTCCTGAGCGTGAGCCTTAAACCTCCCCCTCCATGGAGTGCACTCTGCCTCTGCCCTCTGCAGTTCTGTCTCTGTAAAGTCCCGACAAGAATACGTTTTTCTGAAAACATCTCACTTAGATTGCCCTGCCCTCGCTTATCCTCACTTGCCCTGCTGAAAGGAAAGACCTCTCCACTCCTCTCCTGACCCCTTTTCAATGTAAATTTCTTCATTGGAATTTTCCTGACTGAACCCCTGAACACAGTATAATAGTGACACGTGTGGGTCTACGTTTTGGCATAGATGGCTTACTTCTTTTTGTTTTTATTAATCTACTAGAGGCCTGGTGCATGAAATTCGTGCACAGGTAGGGTTCCCAGACCTGGCCGGCACTCATTCACACCTGTCTTGGCTAGCCTTGTGCTACCCGCTCACTGGCCCCACCTCCCACCGCTGATTGGGGTGTGCAGGCTGGGGCAGCTCCTGTGTTGAGCATCTGCCCCCTGGTGGTCAGTGCACATCATAGCGATCAGTCATTCCACCATTTGGTCAATTTGCAATTAGGGTTTTATAGATAGATTTGTTTACACACATGGAGAACTATCCGTGAACGATAGGGGTGTGCCTGCTGCAGCCCAGGCATGGCATTCTGCACAGAGCCCACACTTCTTATTGCTTGTTGGTTGGGCTGAGGGGGCCAGGACATTGAGCAAAGCTAGAGCCCATGGAATCAGAATTCTAGGTTTAGGAAAGACCTTTACGGGCTCATCAAGTTTATTTCCAAATGCCTTCATATAAGACCACATTCAACCTAGTCAAGATCAATAAATATTCATTTTATTTGCATAGTTTTTTTAAAATTAACAATCTCTCTTGCTAAACCACACTTTGCTAAAAAAAAAATTATTCCTTACAGCTAATTTGAATCCTGACTATCATTTAAGTCAATATAATCACGTTTTCCCAAGAAATGAAAAATAACTAGTTCAATACCTTAAAAACTTAAAAACATTTTCCAAATTATCCCACAAAATTACTTCGTTTATATTCTTGCTTTCAGAGAGTAAATAGTATGAATCTTTTTACCTTCAGCGTAAAGCTCTTTATCTCTTCATCTGAGCTGCCTATTATCCTACCAACCCTATCTTTTGGAAGGGTTGTGTGTACTCCCCAGTGAACAAAACCCCTCAAACCATCCAAAAGCCGTTCATCTTCCTCATAGGTGCACATCCTCAGTACGACGGGCTGGTGAGGAGGAAAAGCGGCATACTGCTGCTCACGCTCGTGTCCTTCCTCATTTTCATTCTCTTCATCATCGTCCAGCTTTTCCTAATGAAGCTTCGGAAAGCACACGTGATCTGGAAGAAAGGTGAGCCACCGAGAACCAGGTGGAAGCACAAGATGCTGAAACAATTGGTTGCGAACAGGAGAATTCTGTCAATTAGAGCTTTTCTGTTATTTGATGTGTTATCACTTAAATACTAGTAAGTAACTCTTTGCCTTAGGCAGTGGTTCTCAACCTTAGCTGCACATTAGAATCACCTGGGAATCTTTTTAAAATCCTGATTTCTGGGCCTCATCCTCTGGAAATTTTGTTTCTTTGTTACTAATGTTGTGGCCCTACCCCATAACAAAGAAACAATTTCTGGAGGATGAGGCCCAGAAATCAGGATTTTAAAAAGATTCCCAGGTGATTCTAATGTGCAGCCAAGGTTGAGAACCACTGCCTTAGAGTAAGCAGAGAATTTGAATCTCCAGGAACTATAGTGAAAGAGTGCAAAACCAAGAGAAACTAGAGCAGCTCCAGGAACTGGAGTTATGTTATAAAAGCGTCTATTCACAAAAGGATACAAAAAAAGAGAGCTCATTCATCCATCCGTCCATCCATCCATCCATCCGTCGGTCCATCCATGCAATAAGCACTCACTGAGCAGCTACTGTGTGCCATGCAATGGGGATACATCCGTCAACAGGACAGACCAGGCCCTGCTCTCACAGAGTTCTTCTTCCAGGAAAGGGCAATCAAAGCTTTAGTTCCATTTTGAAAGAATGCACTCAACTTCCCTCAACCATATGTTAGTAAGTTTTTTTTTTTTCCTAAGCATTCTGATTAAAAAGTTATTGGAAACAAAAAATATATTATACTAGTGACCTGGTGCACAGATTCGTGCACTTTGAAAGGAAATTAATTAGAAGGTGGCTGGCAGGGCAGGACTGGGCTAGACGGGCCGAATATGCCCTGGAGCCAACCTCCTGTGGTCCCTCCCCAGCTGGCCCCACCTGGGGTGGCGTCATGGCTCAAAGGGCATCAGCAGAGTGACTGGGGTCCTTTTGGCAGGTGGGGTCCCTCAGCCTGACCTGTGGGGATTGTTCTAAAACTGGCTCTCCAACACCCCCTGAGGGGTCCCGGAGTGCAAGAGGGCACTTTGCAAAGTTGCTGATGTACAGGGTGTGGAACACAAAGGCAAATGTGCAGTAACCAGATTCAGGGTTGACAGTGCCCCAGCAACAAAATAACTCATGGCTGAAGGTGGAATCACGCGGCCCCACAAGGAATCAGGCTTCCTCCTCTCTGGTTTCAAGGTGTGTCACACGAGAACCGAGAACTGCTGCTGCCAAGTCACTGCAGCTCAGCAGCTCCTGTGTTGAACATCTGCCCCTGGGTGGTCAGTGTGCATCATAGCCACTGTTCGGATGGACACGTAGCATATTAGCCTTTTATATATATACTAGAGGCCCGGTGCACAAAAATTTGTGCACTTGGGGGGGGGGGTGGTCCCTCAGCCCAGCCTGTGCCCTCTTGCAGTTCGGTGATTGGGCCTAAGCTGGCAATCAGACATCCCTCTGGCAGCCCGGCAGTCCTCGGGGGATGTCCACTTGCCAGCGGGGAGCAGACCTAAGCTGCAGTCGGACATCCTTAGTGCTGCTGAGGAGGCAGGAGAGGCTCCCACCACCACTGCTGTACTGGCAGCCATCAGCCTGGCTTGTGGCTGAGCAGAGCTCCTCCCATGTGGGAGCTCACTGACCACCAGAGGGCAGCTCCTGCATTGAGCGTCTGCCCCCTGGTGGTCAGTGTGTGTCATAGTGACCAGTCATTCCCAGTCTTTCTGCTGTTAGGGTCTGTTTGCATATTACCCTTTTATTATATAGGATAGAGGCCTGGTGGGGGCCAGCTGGTTTGCCCTGAAGTGTTTCCTGGATCAGGGTGGGGGTCCTGCTTGGCTGCCTGGCCAGCCTGGGTGAGGGGCTGATGGCTGTTTGCAGCTGGTCACACCCCCTTCAGGGTGGGGGTCCCCACTGGGGTGCCTGGCCAGTCTGGATGAGGGGCTGAGGGCTGTTTTCAGGCTGGCCAAGCTGGCGACAGAAGCTCCCAGTCTCTCCTTTTTTTCTTTTTTTCTTTTTTAATTCTGGGATTTATTTACCTTCTATAATTGAAACTTTGTTGCCGCTCCAGCTCGAGGCCAGGGCCTGCTGAAAGCAGGTATCTGGGGTTTGTTTAGCTTCTATAATTGCAACTTTGTTGCTTAGAGTGGAGCTCAGAGCCCGGCCGCAGCAGGGAGGAAGCTTGGCTTCCTCAATCACTGGAGCAAGCAAGACTCCTGCTTGCTTCAGCTGGGTGGCTGCAGCCGCCATCTTGGTTGGGTTAATTTGCATATCCTGCTGATTAGCCAATGGGAAGCATAGCAGAGGTATGGTCAATTACCATGTTTGTCTATTATTAGATAGATAACTAGTATAGAAAAATACCTGTTAAAATACATGGACTCAACATCTATCAGAGCAAGAAGGGACCTTAGAAATTATCCAGAATAACCCATCGATTCAATTCATTCCATAAATGTGTGTCTGGACTAAATCCCCTCTTTAATTCTGAGCAGTTTCTTAGCCCTGTGCCATTTAGCACAGTAGCCACAACATGGCTGTTGAGAGCTTGAGCTGTGGCTAGTCCCTCCTGAGGTATGCTGCAAGGAACACACAGACCCCATTCTGAAGGCTCAGCACACACATACACGCACACACACGCACACAAGAATACCACATGTCTAATAATAATATATTGGGTCTACTAGCTAAATAAAATTATTATTAACTCAGTTTCACCTGCTTCATTGTACTCTTTGAGCATGGCTACTGGGAAGCTTGAAATTACATGTGAGACTGGTGCTATTCTGCTATTGGACAGAGGACTCATTGTATTGCCAGGCAAAAATCCCACGAGTAGACATAGAAGCAGGGGCTGGCTGCTCTGTGTACCTGCACAACAGGAAGTGCCATCCTATTGTTTCAGAATCTCCCACGGACGCCTCATTCCCAGTTTTTAAGGGCTATTGATTGTTCTTTCCCAAAGGATAACATTTGAGCCCCAGCTGCCGTCATGCGACTTCTGCAATTCTTATACCACCGCCCACATACCTGTGGGACTCAGAGCAAACAATGAAAATGATTGGCTGAATGAATGAGGACATGAGGTCTGGGAGAGGAATGATAACTCCACTGCTGTACAGAAACAGAGGCATCATGTTATTCAACATACGTTTCTCATGTAGATGATGCCTGTGGCGCCTGAAATTAATAATTTGGTTTCTTTTCTTGCAGAAAATGAAATTTCAGAATACACTCTAGAAAGTTACAAATCGAGGTCAAATCATGAAGAAACATCATCCCAGGAGAAATATGGCCAAAGTAAGTCAACCATGTGACCGGAGGTTTGAAAAATGAGGCTCATTGATTTGTTGTGCTTAAGGGGGAGCTCAAAAATAAAAATTTGATTTTTAGGACTAGAAAGTCGACTTCCAGAATCATCTTGTAGAACTTAAGGAAGTGCATCCTGAAAAATGAAAAGTAGTTTTTTAAAAAAGAGGAAACTTGGCAGTTAAGTTCATGTAGCTGGTGAGTCCAGGAGCCGTTGCTGCGTCCTCCCTGACACGCATGCCCAGCTCTGGCTGCATGTCCGTCTGCGTCCAGACTGCCCTGCTACTTACAGTATGAAATTCTGCCGAAGACAATGCATTTTCCCCAGCAACACGTTATTTTGTAGCAGAAATGTCCATATATTGTATTTCAATTGTATCATTTTTATTTAACAAGACCTTTTAAAAGTTAGACGATAACAATACATTCAGATCATTTATCTGCATGTGTGCATTTCAGATTCAATTTTTAAGACATTAACATCTGGACCTAAACATACCACGTGCAGTGTTTCAAATAAAGGGTGCGGTGCTGTCCAGGATAAATGCTCACCTCCCACATGTCTTTCTCCCAGCTCCCCGTCCTAAGCGCTGCATGGACTACATCACACAGCTGTGCTCAGAAGCGAAAACAAAAGGGAAGGAGCACACGCAGCAGGCGAAGTTAAAGAGAGGGCACACGCGTGTGCCAGAGAGCGTCGTGTAGTGCCCTGCGGCGGGGAGCGTGGCTCGCGGCGGGGAGCGTGGCTCGCGGCGGGGAGCGTGGCTCCCGGCGAGGCGTGGCCAGCACGGGGCAGCGGCGGGAGGAGCCCAGCCTGTGGCAGGAGGAACCTGCGCTGAGTGCCACGCAGGACGGAGTCTTTCTCTGAATCAGCCCGACTCAGAGCAGCGAGACAGGACTGAACATGGACCGAGGCTGTGCCACCTGTGGTGCCTGACACTACTCCAAAGCAGGAAGATGCTGCTGAGCCTTGGACTGGCCAGTGGGACCCACAACAGGGTGCTGTGATGGGAACAGATTTTAGATGGAACTAGTGAAACTACTTGAAACAAATTGAAAATCTTTCTGGCCCAGCCTGTGTAGCTCCGTGGTTGAGAATCAACCAATGAACCAGGAGGTCATGGTTCTATTCCCCGTCAGGGCACATACCTGGGTTGCGGGCTCAATCCCAGTGTGGGCCTGCAGGAGGTAGCTGATCCATGATTCTCTCATCATTGATGTTTCTCTCTCTCTCTCTCTCTCTCTCTCTCTCTCTCTCTCTCTCTCTCCCCTTCTTCTCTGAAATCAATAAAAATATACTTAAAATAAATAAAATCTTTCCTTCTGATCTTCATGAAAGGGACCTAAAGAAGGTCTCTAGTCCTGGGCACTTGTTCTAAGATGGATTTGAGCCAAGAGTGGCGGGTTTGCTGCCAGGGAGATGAACACCCAGTGAGCACGACCCCGAGACAGGGCTCAGTGCCGGCAGGCCCAGGGCTCTGGCTCCCTGGGTTTTCTTGCTAAATTGCAAAAGTTGACCTAGTGACAGCTTTTTTTTTGTTTGTTTGTTTTTTAATGACACTTCATTATAAAAACATGTATAAAAGAGCAATGATGATTTAATTAACCGATTAGTGACCTAATGGATGCTTTTAAAAATTATTTAATAGAGAGCAGAATATATAAAGAGAGGAAATGAGACGTTTTTGGAAAGACTTTTCTGGAATGATTGTCATCCAGGACAAAAGGGGCGCTGAGTCGGGGCGAGCGTGGAGCTGCCCTGCCATCTGGTGGCCAGCGGGGCACCTGCAGGCAATAGCCGCGTGGAGAGCCCTGGGGGCCCCAGAATACACAGAAACCCACTTCAATGGAGGCCAATGGACGTGAAAAAAAGTTGTCACTGTGGCATCTCATCAATGTTATAACGAAACTAGAGGCCAATGCACAATATTTGTGCAAGAGTAGGCCTTCCTTCCTTGGCTGCAGGCACCAGCTTCCCTCTGCAGGACCCGGGCTTGGGTCACAGCCCCGGCTTTGTTCTGAATGTCATCCAGTCTAATTAGCATATTATGCTTTTATTATTATAGATGCCTTTGAACGAACTGGCATTTTTCAAGGAAAAATAAGGATCAACCCCCACCCACCAAAAAAGCCTACAGAAATCCCAAATAAACAAATAAAACCAATGTATGGTGGTAAATGTTTTATTTTGCAAGTAATATGTATATATTTAAATCTCGCATCCATTGCTACCATCATCTTACTTTTAAAGGATGGTAATTCCCAGAAAGGGTTTTCTCAGAAAAAAAAAAAAGACAGCCTTTTTTAAACAAATATTTATTTATTTAATTTATCTTTATTGTTGAAAGTATTACATATGTCTCCTTTCCCTCATTGTTTTATGTCCCAAATATGAGTGAAATCACATGGTTCTTGTCCTTTTCTGTCTGATTTAATTCATGTAGCACAATACTCTGAAGATCCGTACATGTTGTTGCAAATGGCACTATTTCATCTTTTCTCATGGCTGTGTAGTATTCCATTGTATATATGTAAGCACAGCTTCTTTACCCCGTTGTCTGTCAAAGGGCATTTATGTTGTTTCTAGGTCTTGATTATTGCAAATAATGCTGCAATGAACACAAGGGTGGCATATATTTATAAATAAGTGTGTTCAATTATCTTTGGGGGGTAGATACCCAGAAGAGGGATTGCTGGGTCATAGTCTTAATTTTCTGAGGAACCTCCACACTGTTTTCCGCTGTGGCTGCACCAGTTCACATTTCCACCAGCAGTGCACAAGGTCCCTTTCTCCACGTCCTCACCGCACTTGTTATTCTCTTGTCTCATTGATAATAGCCATTCTAGCAGGTGTGAGGCAGTATTTCATTGTGGTTTTTATTTACATTTCCCTAATAACAAGCTATATTGAGCATCTTTTCATATATCTGTTGGCCATTTGTATGTCTTCCTGAGAAAATTCAGGTCCTCTGCCCATTTTTAAATCGAATTGTTGTTGTTGAGTTGTGTGAGTTCTTTATATATTACTAGAGGCCTGATGCACGAAGATTCCTGTAAGAATGGGCCTTCCTTCCCCTGACTGCCGGGACTGCCTTTGCTCCGGCCAGAGCTGCCTTTCTGCCTTCCCACGCTGCCCAGAGGCCTGGAGCGGTTGGGGTGGAGCTGAACCCCTGTGTCATCACCATGGCAATGATACAAGCATCCTGCCCAGCCCCCATCAGCTTGGCACCCAAATACGCAAATTAACCCACCATCTTTGTTGGGTTAATTTGCATACTCACTCCTGATTGGCTGGTGGGCATCGCAAAGGTATGGTCAATTTGCATCTTTCTCTTTTATTAGTGTAGATGGGTATTAACCCCTTATCAGAGTTATCATTTGCAAATGTCTTCTCTGGGTTGGCTGCCTTTTTGTTTTCTTGGTGGTTTCTTTTGCTATGCAGAACTTCTTAGTTTGATGTAGTCCTGTTCATTTATTTTTGCTTTTATTTCTTTGCCTTTGGGGTCATGTTCACAAAAACCCCACTGAGATCAAGGTGCAAAGTTTAATGCATGTTTTATTTAATGTATTTTATGTCTCATATTCAAGTTTTTAAACCATTTTGACTTAATTTCTGTGTGCGGTGACAGAGCAGTCTATTCTCAGTCTTTTGCATATGGCTTTCCAGTTTCTCAACATCATGTATTAAAGAGGGTTTCCTTTATCCATTGTATATCTTGGTCCCTTTGTGAAAAATCAGTTGCTCATATACATGTGTGTTTATTTCTGTGTTCTCAGTTCTGTTCCATTGGGCTCTGTATGTATTTTTCTGTCAATACCATATTGCTTCAATTATTATAGCTTTGTAGTATAATTTTAAGTGAGGGATTGTGATACTTTTGGCTTTGTGTGTTTTTTCAGGATTGCTTTGGTTATTTGAGGATTTTTGTGTTTCTATACAAATTTGAGAATGTTTTCATTCCATTTATTTGAAAAAACCATTGGGATTTTGGTGGGGATCACATTAAATCTGTATATTGCTTTACATAACATAGTCATTTTAACAATGTTGTTATTCTTTCAATCCATGATCAATCAATATCTTTCCATTTATTTTTGTCTTCTTCAGTTTCTTCCAGCAATGTCTTGTAGTTTTCAGCATATAGATCCTGCACCTCTTTTGTTATGTTATTCCTAATTATTTTTGTTGTTGCTGTTGTGATTGTAAATGGGATTGTTTTCTTAATTTTTTCTCATATTTCATTGAGAGTATATAGAAATGTAATAGATTTTTATATATTAATTTTGTATCCTGTTAATTTACTGTATTTGTTTATTGTTTCTAATAGACTGTTGATGGAGTCTTTAGGATTTTCTTTATAGATAGAATCATTTTATCTGCAAGTAGTGACACTTTTACTTCTATATTCCTATTTGAGTATCTCCCCCACCCCCAATACTTTGACTATGGCTTCCAGCACTATGGTGAATAACAGTGGTGAAAGTGGGCATCCTTGTCTGGTCTTTTTCCTGATCTTACGGGAATATCTTTCAATTTATCAGCACTGAGTAGTATGTTCCTGAGGGTTTGTCACGTGTCCTTTATTATGATGCAATGCTAACCTTTCATATCCATTTATTGAGTTTTTTAATCATAAATGGGTGTTGGATAGCGTCATGTCTTTTTGGCACCTATTGATATAATAATATGATTTCTACCTTATGTTGTGTTAATGTTGTGTATTATAGTGATTGATTTGAAGATGTGAACCATCTTTGCATTCCTGCAATCAATAAACCCTACTTGATTGTGATCTATGATCCTTTTAACATATTGTTGTACTTAATTTGCTAGTATTTTCTTTAGGATTTCTACATCTGTGTGCATCAGATACTAGTATTGGCTTACAATTTTCAATTTTTTGTGTGATGTCCTTGCCTGGTTTTGATCTCAGGGTAGTTTTGGCCTTGTAAAATTAGGAAGTATTCCTCCTCATCATTTTTTTGGAAGAGGTTAAAAAAGGTTGGTATTAAATCTTCTTGGACTATTTGACAGAATTCACCTGTGAAACCATCTGGTCCTGGACTTTTGTTTTGGGGAGCTTTTGATTACTTTTTCAAGTTCCTTACCATTGGTTATTAGCCCATTTAGGTTTTCCAATTATTCATATTATAGCTTAGGGAGTTTATATATTTCTAAGAATTTGCCCATTTTTTTTAGATTATCAAATTTGATGACATATTCTTTTTCATAGTATTCTTGTATAACCCTTTGTATTTCTGTGGTATTTGTTATAACTTCACTTTCATTTTTTATTTTGTTTATATGAGTCTTCCTTCTTTTTTCCTTTGTGAGTCTAGCCAGAACTTTGTCAATTTTGTTTATCTTTTCAAAGACCCAGCTTTTTTTTTTTTTGGGGGGGGGGTGTTTTTATATTTTTAATTTTAAAAAAATTCTTTATTGTTGAAAGCATTACATATAGTATTATATATGTCTCCCTTTCCCCTCATTGACCTCTCCCTAGACACCCCCATCCCCCAAAACACATGCCCTCACCCCCCTACTGTCCATGTCCATTGGTCATGCTTATATGCATGCATACGAGTCCTTTGGTTGATCTCTTACCCTCCCCTCACCCTCTCCTGCCTTCCCTCTGAAGTTTGACGGTCTGTTCGATACTTCTCTGTCTCTGGATCTATTTTTGTTCATCAGTTAATGCTGTTCATTATATTCCACAAATGAGTGAGATTATGTAATATTTATCTTTCTCCGACTGACTTATTTTGCTTAGCATAATGCTCTCCAGTTTCATCCATGCTGTTGTGAATGGTAAGAGTTCTTTCTTTTTTACAGCAGCATAGTATTCCATCGTGTAGATGTACCACAGTTTTTTAATCCATTCATCTGCAGATGGGCATTTAGGCTGTTTCCGAATCTTAGCTATTGTAAATTGTGCTGCTATGAACATAGGGGTGCATATGACCTTTCTGATTGGTGTTTCTGATTTCTTAGTATGTATTCCTGGAAATGGGATTACTGGATCAAATGGGAGTTCTATTTTTAATTTTTTGAGGATACTCCATACTGTTTTCCACAGTGGCTGCACCAGTCTGCATTCCCACCAGCAGTGCATGAGGGTTCCTTTTATTCTGCATCCTCTCCAGCACTTGTCATTTGTTGATTTGTTCATGATAGCC